CTCAAGCCCATCCCCCACATCTTTGAGTAGTTCTCTCCCCCTGATCCTCACTGGGGATTCATGGTCAGGGTCTCTGCATTCTATGGGTTTGGTACGACCCATAAAGATAGATGGTAAATCGAAGACATTTTACATTGCCTTTGGTAGTGGAGACCTCGTGTTTTTCCCTGACTGGTGGGGTGGTGGGGAAGGGACTATGTTTCAGTCCTGAACTGGGCCTAAAAAGTCCTGGTTAGACTAATTCTCGAATTTTCTTGATGACTATATTTATACTCAAAGTTTGCCAAGGGGTGAAAGAGCAGAAGAATAAAGGTCAGTAGTGACCCAGAACATGGTACAATGGTCTCTAACTCCTTATTTTACTGGCACCATTAGACATCCTTCCTCCCCCTCTGAAAAACATCAAGAAGAAACCTTTTATACCCTCAAGACTGAAGCAGTAATGAGAGGTAAGGGTAGAAAACTGAGCTAACTTTTTGTGCCGGCACTTCAAACAGATTTCAATGCTGTGAAATTATCTTGGGGGCTGTTATCTCTCAAAGTTCAGCGTGGTTAAAAGATGATTATAAGACATGTTCTGTTGCTTAAGGATTTGCTGACTTCTAATGCCTTTTTTCTCCAAATGAATGCAGGGGTGACATTTCTGGGTAAATAAAGGATCTGGGAAGGATGTGGCCCTGAGCAATACTTTTATTCTCATTCTCTTTCACAATCGCATTCCTTTGCCACTCCTCCCTCACACTCACCCTAACCCCACCCTCACCATTATTAATCTACCCTGAATTACTCTATTCTTTTCCCAGGGAACACACCCAATAACAACAATGAATCATACACACTCTTGCTTATCCAGTCTCTAATGGACTTGATAAAATGCCAGGTCTTGTAGAATAAAAGTACAGGAACTTGTTGTTAGCTGCCATCAAGTCGGTTTAGTATACTAGTTTAGTATACTATCCTGGATATTGGCTACCAGATAAACATTCTAGTTGTCTGATACAGAAAGGTTTTTATCCCATTAATACAACCCACCATCAGCATGGCCAAGTGGTCTAAGGTGATGCATTGAGGTTGCAGCCTTCCATGGAGGCGTGGGTTTGAGTCCCACTCCTGACACAACATTTGCAGAGGCCTGGTGGCGCAGTGCTTAAGAGCTACGGCAAGCTACAGCCGCTAAGCAAAATGTTGGCAGTTCCTCAAATTCATCAGCTGCTCCTTGGAAACCCTATGGGGGCAGTTCTACTCTGTTCCATAGGGTCACTATGAGTCAGCAACACGTATAATACCATTGACTACCATCCTCATACTCTAAGTTATCATCCTACTTGATGAACCAATCTCTCAAGCATGACTAATAGCTAAATCAGGGGCTCTTTCATCTCGGGGTTAAAAATAAAATCCTCTTTTGCCTATCTTGACTAAAGAATATTAAATGGTTTACCCACAAAGGCCACCCTTTGGTAATGAGGCACTGGAAGTCTTCAACCGTCTCTACAAGCGAAGCAATTACACATTATGGAATTCCACATAAGACTTTTAGGTAATATAGAAAAGAAATAGAAATAGTTTGTCTATTATTCTCAAAGGGAAATTTATGAAATGACAGAGCTTTAAAACACCCCCTTTACCATGGATATTTATACAAGATGTCACTCGAATTTGTCACAAAAGAAACTTAGAGAAGAGTTTTTGAAGGTGATTTTCAACTTACATGCAAATGTTACAAGAACTACTGAAAGCCAGGTAAGAGAATTTAGATTTTCTTGTGTTATAAAACTATATTAAATTTAGCTCGTTTAATTTGTCCTAATGGCATTACGAATCAACTCAATCATTTGGATTTTACATAATTTCTCACTCATGGGGGACCTAATCCTAATTTTAAAAGTGTATTTTCTTATCTTTATTTAAAAAAATACATATAGATGTTAGCTATGTCTACATGTAATCAAAATTCTTGTCAATGCAGAAAAGTCAATGAATTATATAAAATTTAGGTCACCCTGCTATTACTGTTAAGATTTTTAAAATAATGCTAAATCCAAAAAATTTTTTAAAAATCTAAAAAGTTGCTGAAAATTATTTGTGTGTGTGTGTAAAGAGAGAAACGGAAAGAGAGGAAAGGTGAGAGGGAGAGAGAAACTATTCACTATTCTCTTCTTCCTATTAAAAATAATAAAAACCAAAAAACCTCAGAGATATTTAGGTCTATGTCATCACTCTACCAACAATAATCACAGACAAGAACAAAGAAGCATTTTCCCACTCCCTGATGAATAACAAAGTGGCCAACAGTAGCCTCGGGTATCTAAGAAATTTAAACACACAGACACACACAGAAAGCCTGGGTTAGGTTCATATTAATTACTATCATCATTGAATTCTGTTGCTCAAATTGTTCTCTCTATGGCAGGGTAAGGAGTCTTTGCCTTTGGACTCAATGTGACAATATTTTTTCTTGCCTGAGAAGTTTCATATGAAACATAGAATGTCCTATGTCAGAAACGTCAAACTCAATAGGCCAATAGATTTCTGGCCCCTAAAGATATGGACATGCTTTCAAGGCTTTATCTAAAGGTACAATGAAAACTACAGCAGCAGATTCCAGATCCCTTACACTAAATTGAGAGTGAAAGGTGGGCTTCCATATTGGTATATGAAAGGAGTAAGTAAAACACAAACTCATATATGGGAAGAACATTCAATCCTAACAGTGCATGGCAGTCAGTGATGTGGGTCAATATATGCACATTTCTGAAATACAGGTTCTTCCGGGTACTTGTTTTGAAGCTCTTTGAAAATCTGGCCAGAACAATTCCATTTTAATATACTAGTTCACATAATAATAAGCAAGTCAGGACATTTCAAGACAAGGATTTGGGAGCAAGCTGACTTTAGGGAATCATAAAAACAATCCACCCTTATGCCCCAAGGTATAAAGAACATGCAGTGTCTGCATTGTGCATCTAGTGTCAGGACAAATCATTCTGGTGTTTTGTTTTTTTTTTTCAGTGAGATTAACTGATGCCAAAGGATGAGTAAAGGGAGAAATAAATGTACAGAATGACACCTGTGGCTTGATGAGGTGAATAACATCTGTATCACAAAGTCATGAGTTCTCTCTTCCACTTTGTAAATTCCTTCGGGTTAATTTATGTAATTAATAACAAATGTAGGAGTGGGATATATATTATTACTTTGATGTGAGGCTCCAAAGTTTCTGCTATTTGTAGCTTAAACTGTGAAGGAGCTTAGGATCACAGACTCTTTAAAAAATGATCTGTGGCCTTTGGAGTGGGGGGAGATAAAGGGATGAAAGAATTACGTGATAAATCCCCTTGAGTCAATTTGGGAATGGTATATTTGCATATATAAATCAACTACTGAGTGGTTCTTAGATATATATTGCTATTTTAGGTGTCTCTCATGAATTCTCATTTAATCCTTCAATCCCTAGAATGTAGGTACTATTACCCCATTTTAAAGATGAGGAAACTGAGACAGAGACTTTACATTAAAAAGTTCATACCAGGATTTGAACCTAGACAATTTGACTCAAACCTTTATGTCCTTAATCACTGTATTAGATTGTCTTCAGGTTCTGTATTTATACTTGACTGCTTAGGACTCAGTTACTTCCTTCTGGATTCTGGCTTCTACCTATCCGTTATTTTGGAATTTACACTATAATACCAATCTTAGAATTTCACAAATTTTTCTTAGAACCTTTTTCCCCCTTATATACCAGGAAGTCTAAGGAGCATTAAAGAGCTCAGATGTTAAAGAGACAATGTCAACGTTTAAAGTGGACATTCAATAGGACCGAAAACAATGTCCCCTTAAAATTCCTAACTTCCAGGTGACTCAGAAATTACTCCACCGACTTCCCATAAATCCAGTGCTACACCCAGTTCAGTTAACTTTGTTGTTGCATAGCAACAGAACATCGGAACACAGGAAACGAAGCGAATATTTTAGACCAAGGAGGCCTTATATTCAGCAAAGGCCATATTTGCCGCAAACATGTAAATTCTGGACGAACACAATCTTATTTAGTAATTGTTCTGCTTCCTGTATTAAATCACAAAAAATTTTGTAAGGCTAAATTTTCTTTCCAATTTGACTAAAAGATTTGAAGTCGAACTAACGAATCTAAAGTTCGAAGTAGTTACAGTAGAAAACCTGGTGACAGGATCGCCGTTTGCGTCAAAAATCGCAGAAGGCTAGAAATTGTCTCAATTGAATCCGCCAAGACTTTTGGATGATTTTCTAATAAATTTCACTCAAAGCTGCTGTTTTGTGGTCTCTGCCTTACGACAGTTTACAAGCTGTAAATTTAACACGTAGCTAGCCGTGCAGTTTTTGGTCCCTTCAAGTATGAGGAAGGGCCTTTACTGTGGTGAGCGAGGAGCTAACAGGAACCAGCAGAAAGGGGAGGCGGAGAGAGAAATCTCAGGAGTACTTCACACACACACACAAAAGCAAGGAAGCAGAAAAGAAAGACGATTGACGGAAAGAGAAAGGAAGGAAACCCTCGAAAGGAAGCACATCTGCTTCAAGATTGGTTAGCCAATATGAACAGCAATCTGGCCCGCCCGGCCCCGCAGAGGCGGTGGCCCAACGCGCGCAGTCTCGCGGCTCCCTGTCGCTGGGCGGAGCAGCGCAGCGCGTCAGTCAATCCGGCCAATCACGCGTCTCTCTCGCGTGGGCCCGCCCCTCC